GGAAGGAAGATTGGGCAATCTACTTCTGTAGTGATATAGCCTTGGAAACCCAAGGAGGGGTCCCTATGAGTCGAATACGACTCTACGGCAGTGTGTTGCGTTTGCTGTTGCTTTTGTATGACAATTCCTAAGGAATGTGGGTCTGAACTGTTTATTCACTTCCAGGTGGTGATTTTGTTGGCTACTATCAACAGCAGTAGGAAATGGGAGCCTAAAGTAACCATATAAGCATAATCCTCACGCAACTACCCTTGGACAAACCTACAGAAATCGGAGGGAAAACATCAGACATTTCCAGACGAAGGAACCAAAACTGGTTGAGCCAATTTTATGTAAATTTTAAGGTGAAGAAAATTCCTGAGTACTACTGAGGATACATTAATTGAACCAGAATTTTTTTTTAAGAGAAACAAAAAGCCTTAGGACTCAGAGGACATTCAGACCAAAAAAAAAAAAAAAAAAAGACTATCAAAAGTCAAACTGGAAAGAGACTTCCTGGTGACTTAAACTGTTAAGGAAAAGCCAGACAAGCAGAAAACCAAGCATGACCATCAGAGTTGCCTCTGCAAGTGGCAGGTCTCTGCGTGGCGCAAATTGTTTGCACTGGACTACTAACCTAAATGTCAGTTGTTTGAACCCACCCAGCGGCACAATGGAACACAGGCCTGGCCAACTGTTTCCACAAAGACTGCGCCGAGAAAACCCTACGGAGCAATTCTATTCTGTAACCCATGGGATTGCCATGAGTCAGAATTGACTCAATGACAATGTTTTTTTTATTTTCCCCCTGCAAGTGGCTCTAGAAAAATTCCACTAGCTTCGTAAATACAGAGCACAATTTTAACCTAATTCTGCAAGGCCAAGGTTGTCATCTCCCTTGCCAGTCTTCTACTCTCATCCAATTTTAGCCTCAAGAGTGCCATGCCTAATTTCCATGACTAAGGGAGGACATAAAAGACATGGGGATTTGGGGAAGGGAAGACAGATTCATTTCACTCTAGT